CTGCCTATGCAGCCAACAGTTTCTGAATGTCCTTCTGTGAAAGATTAAGGGAATAAGTTTTTTTAATAGGGAATTAAGGGAATAAGTTTAGGAACACTATACCACAAAACCTAGAATTCCGACTGTGTTGGAATTTGGGGCCGTTTAATGTATCATTTTGATATAATCTGTTATTGCTAAATCAATGTAAAAAAGGACTCTTTTAGCTCCATTGGCAATGGACAGAAGTTTAGGAACATCATAATACATACAAATAAAAACCCGCATGAAGCATAGAAAAATAAATACTTCCATTCCAAAATGTTTTGTCCACTTTGACTTCACGGTGTTTTAAACAAGGTGTTTGTTCTCTCACTTTCCTAAAGTAAACGTAAGAAGGTGTGGTGGAAATAACTTCCATAAGAAATGTGTGGTCAAAATATGTTTTACAAAGAAAGGTGTGGTGGAAGAAATCATTTTGGAAATATGAGTGGTATAAGAAAGGGAGGTGGGGATTAAAGGTGGGGTAATGAATGAGAAAGTTGTTGATGGTATATTGGGGATTTAAGTGTAATGACGTTGCCGAAAATGGAAGTGAGAAAATCTTTTTGGGACATGCGGAAATGAAAAGTGGAAAAACTTTTGTGGGCCAGCAGGAGTAAAAGAAAAAGATGTTGGTTAGAGATTAGGAAAGAGAAGGAACAACATAACAATGGCAGGTTGGTGCACAAAGCATCCATGTCAGTCCAAGAAAGGGTCTAACTTAAGTGGGTGGACAAGCCTTGCAGTTTCGCAAGAAGCATAATACAAAATCCATAGGTCGGTTAAATGCCATCGTGGGAACATAATACATGGTGCCTGTCAATACCTACTACCCTTGAGAACATAATACTTGGTTCTATTAATAGGGACTTGAAAAAACAAAATTAGAGCTCTCATAGATATCTTTCGAAGAAGCCCCAAAACAAGCATGTGAAACACTAGTTTTGCAAAGTAAGTCAAAACTTTGTGAAGAAAGAGACTAAGTAAAGCTGACAACATACTCCAGATATTGAAAACGTTTCCTCTTTCATTTTTTTTGTTTTCTTCAAAACACTTCAACTTTTACAAAAAGATTGACTCATATATCCAAATAAAGTCATTGCAATATAGTCTCTCTATTTTGCATTGATATAATAAGTTATTTCAGTGATTTGTCCCTCTTTTTTCTTCGACACTAAGGATAAATTTGGAAAGTGAAATTACGAAAATAAATCCGTCAAAAGTCAAAATAGGAACTGTTTTTGCAAATGGAAGGATTAGAAGAAAAGACAAATCCACGTCTTCAGAGATAGCTTCAACAATTGCAACACTATTCTTTACAATCCCTTTCTACCCTTTGCCACTTTCAAAGTCAATGATCTTTAACTAAATTGCAATTTTGTTTTGCTTTTGTATTTAGATTAGGGACCAAGGTGGCAAAGACAGTCAGTTTGTTTTTCTCCAAATAATACAACTTTGCCATGGGTCACCCAAAAAATCAGACTTTTTCAAGATTGAGGACTGATTACTAATCACATTGAGATTAAGAGATAGGGCTTCAAGGTTTCAAAGTTGTTGACAAAAGCTCTCATGGAGAGTATTATTAACAGGAATTCTTACAATATATTATATGTACTGCTCTGCAGCGAACTCAGGGATCTTTTTTTAAAGCAATATAGGGAACTATCGCGCAGGATTGAAAGCTCCCTGGTGTTCAGGAAACAGGACCCAGTCCAACCAATCACCGATCCTTATCCAGGGAGGGAAAATTTTATATCATTAAAATTAATCACCGATCCTTATCCAGGGAGGGAAAGGCTTGCATCAGTTTGAAACCACCAATAAGAAAATTCAGTCAACACAGCCACACCAACACTGTTTAGCTTGAGGAACGGTTTGAAATGTGACCTCTCTACTTTTCACTTTTTAGAGGGGCAAGGAGTTGCATACACCTTGACCCCCC